CTTTTTTCTTTTTTGATTCACTTTACATTCAAATCATAATTCTTCCTCCCACACCTCTCGCCTCAAACCACCTCCCTTTCTCCTCCCACCCTCTCTCATTTTCCCCAGTCCACCTCTAGCCCACTCCTCCTCACATGTAAAGGATCCAATGAGTAGTCAACATATCCTGGTACTATAAGTTGTAGCCAAGCCAGGACCCTCTCCCATGTATTAATACTGAACATTTCTTTAAAGGTTTCTCAGTCATTTGAAATTCCTCTGTTGAGAATTCTCTGTTTAGATCTGTATTTCCATTTTTACCTGGATTATTTGGTTTGTCGAAATGCAACTCCTCAGTTTTGAGTGAGAGCTTAGAAGTATAGTCATGTACAGCTAACAATTTTGGAACGACAGTTCTATCAAAGCATGGTCTCATTCCCATGGCCCAGGGCCCCACTTGGCATGAAGCTCAGACTTAATATTCAATGAATGAGTGACCCTATAAATGAACATACTGAAATTAAAATATTTATAAATTATATAAAGAAATAGAAATTTAAAAAATACCACAGACAGGATAGATGTCCTTAACTTTCATAGATAAACGAAATAATTATTGAATGTTATATCCAGTCCTGTTCTATAGACATGGGCTTAAATTACATGATAAATTTCAGATTATCTTATACAATGATACTGCTTTTAAGCCTGATAAGAAATAAATCACAGATGTAGTTAGCCATCCATGAAAAGAAGACATTAATAGACATTTACATTTTCGTGAAAATATGCAAAAACAATACAAATAGATCTTAACTGGCCTCTGTTGATTTTTAGAGAAACTTATACAACTAAAATTAGCTCCAGAATAATCCACTTGCTAAGAACATGACTAGGATCAATAGCTGAAGTGTAATCAATGCTGAGTTGATTAGGAGAAAATTGATGGCTTAATAAATAAAAATACGTGAAATAAAAGTATATGGAATAAAGTACAACAATAAAATTAGTAACAGGCAAACACATAAAAAGGCTCCCAGCCAGGATTACTGAAATTTATTACACAGACACTAAGAATTTTGACTATAATATCAAAGTAATGATTTAAAACATATTGATTCCTACTGGCTATGTATGAAATAAAGTAAATATAGAATGTTTCTAATAATATGAGGTGACAGTCATTTATTTAAAATATAAAATATCAAACTTCAGATTATTCACACTTCAGTGAAAACTTTGCTATGTTCCAATAATATTTAATATTTGCCTTGAAGAAAAAAGGATGTTTCTAAAGAAATTGCATTTCAAGTGTAAAGTTCTCAACCAGAATGCATTTTATTCCAATTGAAAATGTATTTGTATTTTATTTATTGCTATATTCATGGAAATTCTCATTTCCATTTGCGAAGATAAACAAAGCTTAACTTCATTCAATTTGGTTTCCCACCCATTTCAATCAAAAGTAAGCCAAAGTATTTTTATTGTTTTCTTCAAAGTTTTTCTTAGTTGGCATGAGACAATTTTAAAGTCTGTCTTCCTAACAATTTCATTTTAATAGTTTCTTTTATAAAAATGCTGTTTAATATTTAATATTTCCCATGAAAGCAAGAACCCAGCTTTAATGTATTAAAGCACTCATGAAAGTCTATTATAAATGGCCTGGATATCTTTTTGCCAGTTTGTAGAAAGATATACTGTTCATATACTATTGATTAATTAAAATACCTGATTGTATTTCAGCATTTCCTTAAAAGTGTGAAGGTGATTTTCATTGTCCATCTGTCTGTGCAGTACCTTTTCAGCATAATCTTTGTTTGGGTAATTTACACACACACACACACACACACACACACACACACACACACACACACACACACACACACCACATAATACTAATAACTAGAGAGTCAAAAATTGATCTGATCAGAGTTTTCTGGTTCTCTCATTTAATTGTAAAAGTCAGCATGGGTAGGGGCAAAAGGGAGGGAAATGTCTGGGCAACAACATCAAACCTAACATGGCCAAGTCATTTTACAACCACTTGGAAATCTCGGTTCACAGTGTAAGAAAACACACAGAAAATGACAATGATCATAACATAGCATTTATTGTTTATTAATGAATATTTGTAAAATAATTTTATTTGCCTAAGTTGTTTTTGTTATATTTACATGCACTTGAGTGCAACAGATATAATCTCTCTTCTAACAAAGTCTTAGAAAGAATATTTGAAATATACAAATGAACAAAGACATACTGGCATCATTAAGCAAACAGATAACAAATAGTCAAACAAGGAGAATAAACTTGTGGAAAACTCTTTGAAAGAATATTTGACACCGGTACGAAGAACTTTCTTAAGAGGCTTGGAAAGATATTGATTATTATTATTTTAAAGTTATTGATTTTCAAAATGTTTGCATTACATTTTTGTCATTGACTTTCTACTTAATACAGTTTGATTAGATTCATTCCCCTCCCTCAACTACTTCCAGATTCTTTTAGCCTATGTACTCAGCCACTTAATTTTCTTTTTACTCATTTTTTAAATCATTCAAAATATCAGGGACATTCTGTTTTACTGTTTTCAAATATGGTTTACTAAATAATTGGTACTCATCTAGGACTTTCATATGTCTTCAGTTTTCATTAAGCTTTTTGCTACTCTTTCTACTATTTCTGTCTGCTCTTACTTTCTTTTCTTCTTTACCCTCACTTTCCTTGTATAAGCATAGGAAAGCCTGCTAATCTGGTTATCTATTTACTCTTTAAACAAAATTGGTCCTAAGAAAGAACACATATGGTTTCATAAAGTGCTTTGAATCTTAGAAGAAAAAAGTTTAGCGTGTCAATAAAAAAAAAAAAAAGTTGGGAAAGATATAAATCTGCTTGCAGAGGGGGCGGGGTGATGAGAAAATGTGTCAAGACCAGGCTGGAGAAACCCACAGAAACAGCTGAACTGAAGAAGAGGCTGCACATGGACCCCAGACTGATAGCTGGGAAACCAGCATAGAACTGTCCCAGGCCCCCTGAACATGCATATAAGTTTGGAGTTCTGGTTAATCTATGGGGCCTCTAGCAGTTGATCAGTTTTTATGCCTAGTACACAAATGGACTTTGGGAATCCACTCCACATAGAGGAATATTGTCCCACTCTAGACGCA